CAAATTTATCAAAATATTGCAATAACAATCATAAGTATCATGTACAGGTCATGATTTCAAGAAGTAAGAGGGTACAAATGAAAAGATACAAAATTTACAAGGTTTTACTGTTTGTTTATATTTATAATGCTTTATTCTAAAAAACATAACTCTTTATTTCAAAAGTTTGACTTTCATATGCTAAACCATAAATATGTATATAGACACAAAATGAAACAAAATACATACAAATTTATCTCACTCTAACATCATTTAGCATATTCTTATTTCCTCTTACTCTTGTTTGATGATATACAATACAAAACTCAGAATCAGATAATCCCCAAGTTCATCCTTTTTTTTATTATCATGTATGTTTTACTCCTTAAAATCAGACAGCTTTGGTAATATATCTTTTTCTTCTGTTTTTTTATGTAATGAAAAAGGAATAGTTCATTTTTTATCTGTGGTAGATGTACTACCAGGATTCATTATTGGTGGCCACAATCTTAACAACAAAAGATATGCAGATGACACAGTGTTGTTGGCAGACAAGGGAAGAAAAATACAGGAACTCCTATGGAAGGTAGTGAAGGAAAGCAAGAAGAAAGGACTAAACATAAATTCTAAGAAGGCAGAATACATGGTTGTCAGCAAAAGGAACTGTCTAATATGCAAATTACAAATTGGGGATACCAAAATCAAGCAAGTACAATAGTTTAAATATCTGGAAAGTCTTTTAACAGAGGATGGAAAGTGCAACACTAAAATTCAAAGGTGCATCAGGATAGCAAAAGATACTTTCCAAAAGTTTAACAAATTATTAAAAAACAGAAAAATTTCATTAGAAAAAAGAAAAGAGTACTGAACTGTTATGTAATATCAGTCCTCCTATTTGGCAGTGAATGCTGGGCAATCTCCTCACAGATAAAAGAGAGATTTGAAGCAACAGAAATGTACTTCTACAGAAGGACTCTGAGACTACCTCAAGCTGAATATGTAAGCAAGACAAAGTTTTAGAGAAATTGAAAAAAAGTATACTTTTGCCTAACATCAGAAAGAGATCATTGAAAATTCTAGGGCACATAATGAGGAAAGATGGATTAGAAAATTTGATACTCACAGGATATATTGAAGGCAAGAGGGACAGAAGAAAACAGCACTTAACCTACCTAATGAGTTTGCATAAATGTCTGGCAGACCAAGGTTTAGAAGAGATAGCAAAAAGAAAACATTTAGTAAAACCGACAAAGGACAGAAAATTGTAGAGAGCCATGATTGCCAACATCCTGAATGGACACAACACATAGAAGAGAGAGAATAGCAGTGTGTAATGGATGTGTGAAGGGAGGAACACACAGTATTATAATCTGATAATTTTTTGAAAAATCCTTTAAAACAATCTCAAAGTTTTAATGAATAAATATTTTATAAATATTGCATATCCATACAGATCAAAATCAAAGTCAATGATAACTTTTAAATATTTTAATGACTTCTTAATCTCCTTGTTATTTTTACAATAGTAAATCTTGTTTCAATTTATGATATTTCTAATGTCAACTTTAGGTTAGTGTTTATCAGTGTTTTAATTTTGATATTATTATTTGAGATTTGTAATCTATGAACTTGAAAAGAGGACTTTTGCAATGTGATAATGCATTGAAAAACTTCCTTTTCATAAAAGAATAAACATATTAAGAATTTGTAGATATAAATTTTGATCAGTGGCTTCCTTTCAAAATATTTGGCTTTGGAAAAAAAAGCATGTTTTTCTTTTCATTTCTTGTTTTCTTAATTTGCAGTTTGTAATCTTTTCTTGCTTCTTTGCATGTTTAATTTCAGGTAAATCTTTTTTTTTATATATAAAAAAAGCATGCTTGTCCTTGATAAATTTAATTGCACTGATACCTTTTTTCATTTATGTATTACAAAGATCTTAATGGAAGATTAATTTTAAAATCAACTTTAAGAGGTATCAAATGATTTTTCAATAATTATAGTGTTGAGAACTATACATTTAGTGAGAAAAATATTTGGATTGTACAGTCTTCCTAACATTAATCTGAAATGTACTGATTACCTAGCAATTTTATATGTTCATCAAGTGATGAAGAATAATTAACTGTAATTCTCTTAATAAGACACATTATCTTTTTAAACTTTGTGATATTCTTTTTACATTTAATACAGTTCAAGCATTCTCTTCAACAGAATACATGCATATACACATATACACAACAATGCATGCAAATGTAATTGTATAAATTAATGAGTAGATAATTGTAATTATACATATCTGTTTTTTATACATATATATATCTAAATATATAAAATGCAATGTGTATACATATATATATATATATATATATATATATATATATATATATATATAAGCAAAAAAAAAATGAGTGTCAAAAGGATGGTTTTTCCCATGACATCGCTATTATTTTAACTATTTTCACTTTTTGGCAATGTTTATTGTTCTAAAAAGCAATGATTAAAATTGTAGTAAAACCTAAACATATGATGAAACTGAATTTATACAATATATTTGTTCATGAGAATTTACAACAAAATGATTAAACACTATTTATTTATTAGATTGTTTATTTACAGGAATTATTTTATATTTACAGCATTTTAAAAGCTAATACAATTAAATCTGATGCAATACAATATTTATCATTTACCAATTTTTAAAAAATAAATATGAAAACAATTTTTAATTCATAGATTTATAAACATTTACTAATATGTGAACCAATTATAAGGAAATCCTTATTACTGATCATTTTATAAAGTGCTAATCAATTGACAATTAACTGATGTTTTGTCAACCATTCCAATAAAAACTATAATGTAAATAAACAATTGAATAAATAAACTGTTTATTATTTTTCTTGCCAATTCTCAAGAAAAAAATAAAATGTATAAATTCATTTTCATTTTATTACAATTCTCATCATCACTTTTTAAAAGAATAACCATTGCTGAGAAGTGAAGGTAGTTAAAATAATAGTGGTGTCAAGGGAAAAAACATTTTTTTGACATTCCATTTTTGTGGTGAGCACAAAGGTACAAGTTTGCTTATATATGAATGTATGTAACAACACAAAAGGCATTGGATATAAAGGATTTTTATGAATATAATAATTTCTATTATTGGTACTAACTTACAAGCTTAAACCTTCAATTAAATATAATAAATATAATATGACATATATATATATATATATATATATATATATATATATATATATGTATGCGTGTATGGGTGTGTGTGTTAAAAGTATGTATAATAGTATTCAAAACAAAAGTTGAGATAATGCAACAAAGTGGCAAAGCTGTTTTAAGTTCCATCAACATGTTTTAGGTTCATTGTCTTCAGGTTGGATTGAAAGACAAAATTGTGTGTAAGGAAAATGCATTAACTTTATCTGCTCACCTCCTGTGGAATATAGGAAAACATACCTTCCCAAGGGTATTCATGCAAATGCAATTGTAACAACCTTGGCTGGAATTTGTAATCCTATGCACACACAAATTTATGTATGTATGTATGTATATATATATATATATATATATATATATATATATATGGGGGTAAAATCCATGGGTAAGTAGTCCAAGTGAATCCTAATAATATAAATTATTAAAACTAATTCACCTGCAATGCTCAGTGTATTTACTACAGAGCATATATATATATATAAATTACAATTATATTCTGCAAAGGTGACTATTACCTACTTTGCCAAAAGAATTTTCAAAGACATCAAAATAATGGAATCATCTCCCAACCTCTCTAGATATTGAATAGAAAATTTGTGGTTGATCATTAAAAGACATGCATATGAGAATGGAAAACAATATTCAAAGAAGATCTCGAGGAAGTAATAAAAATGGCCAAAAGAGTAAAAAATTTAATGAAATAATTGTTGGAAAGACTGATGAGGGCTATGGGTTACCAAAAAGCCCATAATAATATATAAAATAATAATTTATTTGCTATAAAGAATATTGTTTTAATCACATATGTTTCCGCTGTGGCCTATATCATCCAAATTTATTTATAAATAAATTATATTGCACTTGGTTTGAGTAATAAAAGCTGATATTCACAAAAGTGCTTTAATCAGGGTAGATAAGCTGAAACTCATATGATATTGCTCATATAAATGTGTGCATATCTTCAAAGATTTATCAATATTGGTTGGATATTACCAATTCTATTCTGCAAGAATTAATTTGTATAATAATATCTGATCGAATCTACTTTAAGTTATAATTGTGTATTACCAATTCTGTTGTATAAATACTCATTGATATAATAAAATTTGTTTGAATATATGTTAAAATATAATTGCAATTTCAAACACATTTTTGCATTCTGTTAAAAAAATAATTCTATGTCTGTACAGACAAAAAAATAATATAACCTTTATATTAAAGAAGATATTTGTCCATATAAATATTTGTATGTGTGAGTGCATGCATGGACACAGTTGTACAGATACAATAAAGCACATAGTTACACTCATGCACATGTGTGTATGTTTATCTTTCTTTAAAAGCACATCTTTTTGCTCTCTATGCCAATGGTATACTGTGCACTAACATTAGGTAGTCTCTCCAAAGAGCCATACTTATTTTGCCTCTGGTTATATGTAATACACCAGTCTAAAGCTGCTGAAGTGATCCTCTGAGCATCACTGTTGCATCAGCCAAGGACTGCTGATCTACTCTTCTAGTTGCATGCCAAGGGTTTGGAAGTAGTCCTCTCTGGCCTGGAAATCTTTGAGATTTTTCCTGTTAGTTTAGTAAGAGCACATGCTTACATGAATAAGAATAAGTAAAAAACATAGATTTTCTCAGACAATGCACATACTTTGAGGTACATCAGAATTTTATATCCTATATTTATAAATGTATAAAAATATTTTCTTTTTCCGTTTTCATTTAATTTATCCATTATCCACAAGATTTATTCAGTTTTTGATCTTTTTTTTTCTTTTCAGGTCTGATCCAAAGTTGTTCCGTGATGATATTGACATAAAGTTTAGCAGAACCTTAAATTCCTGTAGAGTTCCGCAGGTTGGTATTTTTTCATATCAATGCAGGTCTACATCTCAGAAATCTTCTTTCTTTCGCATTCCCTTCTTCTTGTACCATTCCTTGTATGATGCTCTTGAAATGGTCTCAGGATCTAGTTACATGGCTATACAACTTCAGCTTCCTCTTTTTTATGGTGGTCAACATGTCTTTATAGTCATTTACTTAATGATTCACTCTTTTACACACATCTTCATTCATGATGCAGTTGGTTTAAGAAATACCAGGCATCTGAAGTTTGTTCTTCTGCATGCATGCAACTTATGGACTTCAAAGGCAGATCCAAGCTGCAGAGATGAGATACATCTTACAAATGGTAAAATTTAATAAAAAAATTATTAGTTAAAATTGAAATACCTTTTGCTCCACATAGATTTTAGCAAAATTTGAGGCAGCTTGAAAATTCTAATAACTGTAAATAAAATGTCCATTATTATCACATTTTGACCATTGTACTTTTTGGCCTTCTTCAGGCATCTGTCAATCCAGGAAACCATCAGGGAATTTTAAATGAACCTTTTATTTAATCTGTGGAGTGGGGGTAAACTGAAATCCCAATCACCTGAAGAAGGTCAGAGTGAACAACAGCCAAAATGTTGTGAATATGGCAATGAAGATGGGGATAATAATCCAAATAATGTAAATATTGTAACTAGTCATTGTTAATACTTGACAATATTTTCCAGTATTTAATATTAAATTAAAAAAATTCTTACATTCAATAAATGAAAGGTTTATTTAAAAAGTAATAATAGAATGAATATTCTTTGTTTGTAATTTCTAACATTTCATATGTGGTTTGTTTTTATGTTTCAGATCCGCCATGCCACAGTTGAACGCCTTTTGGATCGTTTGACAGATTTACGATTCCTCAGTATTGATTTTCTTAATACATTCCTACTTACGTACAAAGTATTCACTACTGGTTATACCGTCTTGGAAGCGTTAAAGAAAGTGTACAGAAATCCTGATTGCTGTGGCAACTTGGATGCAATACCTCAGTGAGTTCACCAGCTCATTTCATTGTAAATTTTTCTCTTTCAGTACTTTACTTTTTGATTATATCTTGAAATAATGGATCGAGTATGCTTTTTATTTCAGCATGCTAGCACTATTTAGACTAGTGTTTCTCAACCTATTTCTTTACTTCAGGGTGCATTTGTAGAATAATTAAAACTCTGGGGTGCACTTTAAATTTTAATAATGAAAAATTAGTCATAAAATTTGAAAATAGGAAAATAATAATGAAGTCTCCTGAAATAAACATTTATTTTTAAGAGTTTACATTGGATATTTAAGTGGTAGAGTTTTCATTTAAAGGGATTTATGAAGAATCTGCTATTTTTCTTTTTAGATAGCTTGATCATGACTGATTTAAATCTGCTGAGGAAGGCAAAAGGGAAAAGATTATCCACTCCTTAAAGATTAAGGAATTTAGCATCCAGTTTAAAATATCAAATGACAAAGACTTTACTTAGTCATGGAAGCCATTTGCTTAATGTCTCAAGCTTTTTAAGAATAAAGATTTTTTTTAAATATAAAAATGATTCATAAATTACTCTTCTGTTCACTTAAGCTGCACCTGGCTACCTTTCAGGGCACATTGGTGCTCCTGGGTGCACCGGTTGAGAAATGCTGTTCTATGCATAAGCCACTAGGTAGGTTAGATATCCAGGAATTTAAGAAAAGACCTTGAACATTGAGTACTTTTAACTAAAGCTTCTTTTTTCAAATGTCATGTCATTTTCTGGTGATAGGCAATGTTGGCTCTCCACAGATTCTTTTTGTCATTATTATCTGTGAATTACCATCATCGGTCTTGGGAAAAACTGTGGAATGGTTTCCTTTTGCTTTCTCCATGATTTAGAATTTAGAGTTGTGTTTCACCTAATCTGACTGACACCCAAGATTAGAGAGTTCAGTCTATCCTGTTATTTAACCCATAGGGTGAGGTGGAGAAAAATAGATTCAGATTTTTATTAGGGACACTAATTAATATGATTTTCTCATATCTCTCTGAATAAACTGAAATACCTGTACAAATATCTTTATTTATATACTTTTTCCTATGTATGTATATAGCCTTTTTTGCATCTTGTTTTTCAGTATGAATGATCCAGATATCTACACTGACAGCACAGTTCAGTTTAGTGGAAGCCCACCAGATTCCCGCCTTCTCATTAGGCCACAACCCAATGGACGACGGATCAGCACAGGCTGCATGAGGACAGAAATCACAGGAGACAACCGCCAAGTGACTATAGACAAACCTGTTCCTCCTTGCACTCCGAGTGCATTTCATAAATGTGAGCAACAAAGATATATTTTGCAGTAGATTTGGTATGAGAAAGAAATTGTCTGTCTGAAGATTTTTAAATATAAACATTATTCTGATAAGAAATATGAAATATGGATGATTTTCTTAAGATTTTGATGTTTATTCATTTTAACCACAAAAGCTTTTGGAGGATTGTGAAAATAAGAAGAATGAAAATATTAACAAAATCAACCACAATTTATAATTGACCAAATGTCATTTTTGATTCATCTGTCTGTTATTGCATAACTCAAGGAGGGCTTGAGCTATGGCTAACAAATTTTATCTAGTTACTAATGGGATATTTATTGGTGCATGCTTTTGAAAATGACAAAACATTAAGCTTTTAGTAAAAGCTTTGAGTTACAATGTAAGTATAATGTTAAACTGGAACTTTACTTATTTTTTGTGCAGTTAGCAAAAGTGAATCTTTATCTCTTTGTTGTAAGGACAAGATAGAGATTGAGCTGAAAAATATTCATTGTCATGACTGTTCTTGGGAAAGATAGTGGAGTTGTTTTTTAGCAAGGGATTTGATTTCCACTGTAACTATAATGCTAAAATGGGGCCATAATTTGTGTCCATTTGTGAATTGTTTTGTTGAACTATACAAGATAGGCATTGAACTGAAAATGGGCATTGTCATGACTGCACTTGTGGAAAGATAGTGGGGTGATTTTTAGCAAAGTATTTGATTTCCACTGTAAGTATAATGCTAAACTTAAGTTGATGATAATTTTGAAATAAGACATGATTTGATAAACACATAGTTCAAATCTATGATGTTACTGGGTCAAAAATCCCTTTTATGCTGTCAATCAACATTTTTTGTTGCCTTGACCCCACCCCAGTTCTTCTTTTATCCCCCTCCTTTCTTCTTTTTATCTTTTCCTCATTCCCCTCTATTCCTAGTCTTTCCTCTTAGTTACACTCTCTTTAGCCCCTTGCATACTAGTTGCACTTCTACCTTGTTTGGGGTGAAATGCTTAAAAAAAGGCCTCCTCTGAGAACTAGCTTAAGTTCTTACCTATAAGGCATATATATTATATATATATATATATATATATATATATATTTTTCAGCTCATAGTTTGTATATTAGAGTGTTTTTCATCCATTATTGGATGCAAGAAAACTTCCTTATCTGGAGGGCAGTGGTAAATTGCTTCATGTTCTCTCAGTGAAAACCAAGAGAACTTAAAACTATAGCTTTTTTTAAACAAGAATGAGATAATATATAATAATGGGTCAAGTGTTAATTCAATCTGAAACATTTAAGTCAATCACATAATAGTGTTAAAATGAACTCAAAACATTGCCTTCTTCCCAGATTCAAGTTGGGATGTATAAAATTATTTGATAAAAGAGTTCTTTTATGTGCCATATCCATTCAGGACGTGGGTGATGACTGGTCTCCACAACTTCCAATCTTTTGTATCTCTAAGCAATGCTTGTCCACTTACTATCACTCCCAGTTACTATTCTGGCATCCGATTACACAGGTTCATTGAGTAGGCTAATTATTGTATCTCTCTGTTCCCTTTGGCTTCAATAGGTCATGGGAAAGTCAAATTTTCTTGCCTTCTTTTCTCATTATGTGTCCCATTAAATTTATTGATAAAAGAATAAGAATTGGGCAACAAGAAACTAATTTATAAAATTCAATGGAATAAATAGTAAAACCTGTTTGTTCCCTATGTTTTGTATCTGTTTTCTTTCATAATGATCCCTTTCCTTGTTTCTCAGTTATATTTTACCTTCCTACAATAAGCAAAATATGTTTTCTTTTCTTAAACAATATTTTAAATTCTCTTCTCTTTCTCATCTCTTTATTTGTTCATAACACTTCCCCCCCCCTCTCTCTGACTATTTTAATGCATTTATAGTGGTGTGGGAATTTGGGGTTAAAATGAACAAGAAGATTAATGATAGAGGATAATGATGAGGAAACACATGGGTAATTTTAACAAAACAAAATGAGGAATTTATTTATGAATTTACACGCTTGAAATTGTGTCAGTAGCTCATTTCAGGAAAATAAATCAGAAATTTCTAAAATCTGTAATTTCAATGAATTGTCATGAAGAGGAAATGTTCATACAACAGATTTAATGATCTAACACAAAATAATACTCAAAAATGTTTAAAACAAAAGTAAGAGAGTTCATTGTTCACCGAAGGGTTATACGGTTGCATACATTCAAAAGTAGATGAAGAGAGATAGTTTGAAATACTCAGCTTTCTTGGATTGTTGAAATAAAGTTCTTTGAAGTGTCAAGTACTTGGTTAAGGCCAATAAGATAATTAGCAAGTAATTTGACATGGGCAAAAATCTGAATACTCGACATGTGAACAGAAATGAAACTTTTCACATGAATTCAGACTCTCTTGTTGATTTAATTTTTTTTTCCTTATTTTATATCAAAAAGGATTTCATATAGGCTTGTTATTTTCTTTTCTTTTCTTTTCTAAGCTCAATGGCTATTTCCTGTGAAAACAAATTTCACATAGGCTCGCAAATTTGTTTTCATTTTTTTCTCAGCTCTCATGAAGTCAAAGTTTTCATTGGTCCAAAGAAAATTTCACACACGCTCATAAATTTCTTTCCATCTTTTTACTTAGCTTGCTCGAATTTGAAGAGAGTGGGTAAAGTGTGTTATTATTATTTCATACTCACCACACAATCATCTGTTTTGTTGTTACTACTTTAGTCCAAGTAATTGTACTCTTTGTGTACTTAGCTTGTAATTCTCAGATCTCGGCTGAGAATAATAAAGTAATTTTTTATAGTTTTCTCTACTTATATATGTCGTGTTCCTTCAGGACATTGGTGATTTCCACAATTTCCTGTTCTTTATTGCTCTTAATAAATTTTGTCTTTTTTGTTATTTCTTTTAAACTGTTTTCTGCTAGGTAGGTTATGTGTTGTTATCTTCTGTCCTTCTTGCCTTCAATCTACCTTGTGAGTATCAAATTTTCCAAGCCCTCTTTCCTCATTCATACCCTAGAAATTTCAACCATCTCTTTCTGATGTTATGATTTAAAATGTTAAATTTAAAAAAAAAACAGTTTTTTTTTGTTTCATTTTCTCTAAAACTTTGTTGTTGCTTTCATGTTCAGTTCATGCTAATCTCATCATCCTTCTGTAGAACCATATTTCTGTTGCTTCAAGTCTCTTTTTCAGCTGTGATGAGATTATCTTTCATTTTTTTTGTTTTTTTAGATTATATTACACATAAATTTTTTTTTTCTAAATTTACAAGTTCCTAAACATTTAGTGAGGCTGATCAGTTCAATAACGTCAAAATGGCAGTCCATGTCCAAAATGAACTCAAGTCTGTCGTTAACTGGGGCAAAAGATGGCCTGTTAATCTTAACACCTCCAAAACTAAACTTATCTCCATTAATCATCTGAGAGACCCCTTTCTGCCTTCCATCAGCCATGCCAACCTCCAGCAAAGTGACCCATTATGACTTCTCAGGATAACATTCTCAGTTGACATGAAGTGGAAAGACTATATTGAATTCATTGCTAGGCCAGCTGCTAATTAAATTGGTTCATTGTGTTGTGCGAGATAATTTTTCTCTTCAGAATCTATTATACATACCTATAAGTCTACCAGTTACCCATACTTAGAATATTGCTGGCTGCCACATATGGTCCGGTGCCCTTGCTATTTACCTTGATCTCCTTGATAAAATCCAAAGAAGAATCAGCAATGTTATCGGTCCTGATCTGGTGTCTTGGCTTCACTCACTTTCCTACTGCCATAAGATTGTCTCCTTTTGCCTTATCTATAAATACTTTCATGGTATTGTTCAGATGAGCTCTTCGCTATGGTATGTAAAGTTTTTGAATTTAAGTACAGTACCAGACTGGCATTGAGATCTCAGTTTATAGTTGAGCTGGCTAAATATAGCCATAAATTCTATGCTAACAGTTTCTTTTCTCACACTTCTTGCTTGTAGAACTCCTTTCTAGTTCCATGCTTTCCAGCCAACTTTAATCTCCAAAAATTTAAATGTAATGTCAATCACTATCTACTGTCCTCATGATTACTCTTTTCTCTTCCTGCTTATTAGTAATGTTTCTCTTCCTAATAATTTTTCTACATTCAATAACCCTTTGTGTCTCAGTGGCTTTTCTGCCTTGCTTGGGATGAAATCGATTATATATATATATATATATATATATATATATATATATATATAGAGAGAGAGAGAGAGAGACAGACAGACAGACAGACAGACAGACAGAGACAGAGTGAGAGATAATAACTGGACGATTTCACACTAGGATTTCCTCCATAATTGAAATTTAAGTGAATTAAAATTATATATATGACAATATGACAAATGCATATGAACAGAAGAAAGATGTTGAGAATTTTAAATTTATAAATTTTGTTTTAGTATGTGTTTTGGGGGTCTATAATCCAACCGATTTCATTTAGATTTTTTTGTTTTTGTTTTTGTTTCCATCACTTTTGTTATTAAATGTTCCACATTGTGATAACAGAAGATCTGTCAAGAATGGTGAAACATTGCAAGAACCTGGATGCAAATTCACTGTAGACGATCTAGCAATTAAAATAAAAAAAATAAAATTTAAAATTCTCAACATCTCCCTTTTGTTTAACCACAAGTGAAGTTGCATTGACGTAAACATAATCTTAGTCTTTTGAAACATATCACACAAAACTTTTCAACTATGTCATACTTCTTTCCCCTAAAATTGTTCTTGATATATAAAAAAAAACAAGATGTGAAGTGAAGCTGTGATTCATTAATTGTAATTCTGAATAAAATCATTTAGTACCATCATTGTTTACCACCTGAAAAAACGTTAATTTAACATTGAAACAAAATATACAATTTTATAGTGGATATTTACATGTTCTAATGTAACAGTGCATAATATATATATATATATATATATATATATATGGGGCACCTCAGGTCGGTGTAATGGTTAGCAAGCTTGTCTTGCTAGAACAATTACAAGTGAGTTCGATCATTATTGGGTGCCCCATACTTTCGGCCTTGTGCCACATCTAAACTACACTTGGAAAATCACTATATATATATATATATATATATATTTTTGTTCCTAAGTACTTTCAAATCTTGCTACATTCATTTTCAAGGGTTGCTCTATATATATTTATACAACTTTTTTTAATTCCTGCATTCTCATGTTTGATAGAACCAATTTCAAGTCACTCAGAAAGTCACATAAATGGTCAAACTGAAATCTTTTTTATTTGTGCGTGTTTTTTTTAAACACTTCCATATAGAGAAAGATAGCTTATTTAATGTTTTTTTTATTACAACAGTCCCCAGAATTTCGAGTTTTTCCTTCACACTGTGTCCTGTATGAAAATTATTATATTAATACTATTTTGTTTATTTGTGATATTTTCATTTACATGTGTGCAAACTGAACTAAATTTTGACAAATGACAAGATAACCTATGAGAGACCTATGAGTGTGGCCAATGTAAGAATTTAATGGTGTCAGTTGTGTGTAGCAACATTCAGAAGTATATAACATAAAAATAAATATGAACTTTTGCAAATTTACCAATAACACAAAACACCTCATTGGGAAATTTGCAAAACTGAATAATAAAATTGGTAGCCAGAACTCATCCTTATTATTTAAAAAACATGCTTGAGAGAAGTAATGCTGCTGAAATACACCATATATATATATATATATATATATATATATATATATATATATATATATATATATATATGTGTGTGTGTGTGTGTTATAAAATATACTTTCAAAGGAATGTTATATTTATGGGTAAAAGTGCTCAATATCCGGAATAGAATGTTTGTAATTATAAGAATGGATGCTGAGGTCAACTATGAGTGCCAACAGTTTGTTTCATGCTTAAATGCAATCTTTTGTGTTGGATATTAGCTTGACTATTTATATATGCTAGTCAATGGGGCATTATGCATTGCAAGGTCAATTATTTTCAGTTTATTATGTTATCCTAATGGTTATTGGATAGGTGAGAATAGTTAAAGGCTATTGAATAGAAATAATTATGGGCCAGAATGCAGTTATTTTATACCTATTGTATAGGGTTGTTTGCTAGCTTTTAATTCATTATTTATTTATGATTGATTACATTAGGGTATTTTGTATTTATTCCTTAATTATTTGCTTCTGATTATTATTATTATTAAATTTTACCTACTCATGGTTATGCGTATATTCATACAGTGTACTATTTTGTTTATTATTTATTTCATTTATTTATTTATCATTTTGTTTATTTACTTAGTTTTATTTATTATTTTCTGTTTTTTATTTTTGGGGTAGGGGTATCTTATTTGTTAGTTTTGTTTGAAGTATATTTCATTATCTGTATTGTGTAAGTACATGCATTTTTATTGGTGATGTTTTACAAGATAATCATTTTTAGTTTTCAAGTTTTAAGTAACCCAGTAAAAAAGTGTTTTCACGCCTGCATTTTGAGATAAGTTTCAATTTTTTATTTTAGTAATTTGTGTTGATCTGGGAAGTTTATTATAGCTATTTTATCATCCAGTCAAAGTTTACAGGTTTTGGAGTTATTGTTGTAGGCTGGTGAAGTTTTCCTTATTTTTCATGATATTTTTGTTTTATTTTGTATACATAAATATGCATGGCAGCAATATAATACATATATAGCAATCACAAACCAATTTAAAAGAACACAATAAACCAGACTCTTACCCTTCAATGCTGATTCAGGTGTCCACTCTTACTCTATCCTGGATATTGACCACTTTTACCCATAAATATAGCATACTTTAAAACTATATTTTATATCATATATATATATATATATATATATATATATATATATATATGTGTGTGTGTGTGTGTATATATATATGTATGTGTATATATAATTTATTCTAAAATTATAACATAAATATGTTATAGAATCACTACAAAAATAGTCATTTTGTTTCAACACTTCCGGTGCCTTATCAAGTGATGGTGTTGAATGTAGAATAAAGAGTTTTTAAACTTTTTAAGTTTTTTTAAACTCTTTATTCTACATTCAGCACCATCACTTGATATGACACCAGAAGTTTTGAAACAAAATGGCTATTTTTGTAGTGATGTTATAACATATTTATGTTATAATTTTAGAATAAATTATATTTGCTCTACTCTGTATTGAGCACTCTTTTAACAAAAGTATTTTTTGGTTATTGGAATTTATTCCATATACACCAATCCTATACTTGTATATATATATATATATATATATATATATATATATATATATATATATATAAATTTAGTATGTATATATATAAATTTAGTATGTATATATATATATATATATATATATATATATATATATATTTTGCACACTGTCAACATGGAAAAACAAAAACATACACATATACATTTATTAATATCTGCACATTCCTGCAGAAACAGAAAAAAACTTTCTTAAAAATTGCATTGAGGAATAGGTTATTCCTCAGTGTTCATATAAAGTAATCAAAACTTGACATCATATATTTCCTCTCTATGCAGACAAATTCACAAAATCATCAGTACATGAATTGAAGACAAAAATGCAACAATTTTTGAAAAAGACATACAAAATAGGAAATTATCTTCATAAGGACAACTGGATTACAACAATAAGAATATATATATATATATATATATATATATATATATATATATATATATATATATAGTATGTTAAGTTTTTAAAATATTGTGGTGGAAAATTTTACAGATTTGTCAGTGTAAGCATCTTTATATTGTCAGATGGGGGTGATGTCACTTTACAGAGACCACAAGGATGCTTGTCATCATAGAAAATGTAGAACAACAGATAAAATACCAAGGAGCACAACAGATAGAGGGAAATGATCACTCAGATGCAAGAGTAAAAACTGGCTGCATTGAAAATCAAAACCAAAGACATAGAAACTGAACAGTGTGGATATTAGAATGTATTGATTCAGATGCCCACATTTTCTTTATCTATCTATTTATCAGTAGGAACAGCAGAGAGCTAAAAATTTCCCAATCTGAGTCATTTCTTCAAATCAGTATTCTTCTTCTTCTTCTTCTTCTTCTTCTTCTTCTTCTTCTTCTTCTATGTACCATGTCCCTTCACAACATTATTAATTTCCTGTCCTTTGTAGTCCTCAGTAAATTTTGTCTTTTTGCTTTTACCCAAAGACCCTGTTCAGCCAACCATTTTAAATAAGCTCCTTAGATAAGTTATTCCTCTGACCCTCTTGCCTTCAATATGCTCCATGAGTATTAAATTTTCCAAGCCCTCTTTCCTCAATGTGTGTACTAGAAATGTCAACTGTCTCTTCATGATGTTAAGTATAAATGTCTTTTTTGTTTCCATTTTCTCTAAAACTTTGTTGTAGCTAATGTATTCAATCCTTGGTATTCTCAGCATCTTTCTGTAGAACCACATTTTTGTTACTTCAAGTCTTTTCTTCATCTGTGAGGAGACTGTCCAGTATTCACTTCTATATAGGAGGACCAATATTATGTAATAGTTCAGTATTCTTTTCTTTTTTTTTACTGAAATTTTCATGTTTCTTAATACTGTGCCTAGTTTTTGGAAAGCATATTTCACTATCCCAATGCACCTTACTTAGTCACACTGTGTCCTCTGTTAAAACAATTCCCAGGTATTTAAATTTGTATACTCACTTTATCAGAAGACTGAATGTGGGAAATTAAATTGAGAAATGCTAATATTTTTAAAATAGAAATTTAACTTTTTCACTGATTTACTAATTGTAACATTTCGTCAACAATTTAATCTTGTTGTAATCTTTGTTCATTCTCATGTTATTTGTTATGTAGTTTGCATCCTTTAATGTTTTTCAATTTGTAATCCACATGTGTTTTTTATGTTGTTTTTCAGATCATGGAGGAGAATCAACAGAGAGTGAAGAGAGCCAGTCTGAGATATCTTCCTACCTGAAGCCATCTCGACCGAAGCTTGCACCAATAGCTTCCTGTGAGACTCTCTACGATCATGAAATACCAATTATCACCACCAATGATGATGTCTTCCTAAAAGAGTCAAAAGCTGTGATGGAAAACTACCCCAGTGCTCTAAAAGACTCTGATGACTTAGATAACGGGAAGAACGGAAAACTGCTTGCCCCTTCATCGACTCCAGTATTGGCCTCATCTTCAGAGACGCTATGTGATGGGCTCACACAGGCTGCCCTCAGCTCCACCCCCAGTACAGACACTCTAACGCCTAAGTCAATGAAAGTCAGTCCAATGTCCTCACCGGTCAGCTCCTCAAAAAATTTTGTGCCAAGCAAGTCCATGGTCGATGGACTGCTGAACCAGACAGCCAGCTCTTCATCATCGCCCATCACAAGTCCGAGAAAATTTGTGCCAATCAATGTGGGAGACTCACGGCTTTCCAGGCCCTCCACTCCTGTCAAAACAGGTACCCCCATCTCGTCCCCTGTGAGTAGCCCTCGCAAGAGTTTGCCCATGAAACAAGTAGACTTTTACACAAGACCCTCAACCCCCGTGAAGGCCACAAGCAGTCTGCACAGCCTGGATTCCATTTCTTCATCAGTTGAAAGTCCCACAAAATCTTTTGCATCCAAGATTACATCATCACCAATTAAGACACCTGTTTTTTCAGCCTCCCCTAGGCATATGCAGTCTCCCAGAGGCTCTGTCGCCCGATCTCCAACATCAAGCCCAAAGTTGCGGCGAGCCCCTTCACCGATTCTTGGTTACAGTTACTCTTCTCCAAATATGATAGTGCCTAGCATGAAGAATATCTGTAAGTATTTATGGTTATTGTTTTTGTTGAAGCTTAAATAAGCATGGAATAATACAACACAAAATGTACGTTAACAAAATGTATTGAAACAAAGAATAGGTACACAATATTTACAGTTAGTTTGGTATATTCTTGGGAAGACTGTTCCTGCATAATGGGTTGACTAAATCGCAGTCGGGCAGAGTCTCTGGGTTCAATTTCTTAATCTCTACTATCTTCCCCGTCTTCCGGTACCAACCCATATTTATATGGTCGGTAGTCCGCTTATGTAAATTAGGTGTATCATACACAACAGTTTTTTAGAATTTTTAGGCAAATATCCATTAATCTGTCAACTTTGAATATGCTTCTGTGTATCATGTTTGTATATTACATTTAAGTCAAGTCAAACAAATCCAACAAAGTAGAACAGGCAAGTGCTCTTGAAAAAGACCTTCAATCAGTGGTTAACTGGGGCAAGGAATGGCTTGTAAATTTTAATGTCTTCAAAACAAAACTGCTTTCATTTAATCCTCACAGAGACAATTTTCTACCTGCCATCAACATGGCTGATGCTAACCTCCAGGAAAGTAACACTGTGTTTCTTTCTTGGACTCACACTTTCCACTAACATGAAGAGAAGTGATTATATTGAATCAATTACAATGTCTACTTGAGGAAAGTTGGTTCATTGTGTTGTACTAAGCAATTCTTCTGATCAGAATCCTTCTTGCACATTTATAAATCTACTATTCGTCTGTCTATTGAATATTCCTGGCATATCTGGTCTGGTGCTTCTACTTTATACCATGAGATTCTTGGCAAAATTCAAAGATGGGTCTGTAATGTAATCGATCCTGACCTGGCTTCTTGACTTCAGTCACTTTCCACCAACATGACGGGGTTTCCACCTGATTTTTCTACAAACATTTTCATGGCAATTGCTCTAAGGAGCTTTTTCTCGTTATAGTGTCTTGACTGCATGAATTTAAGCATCTTACTCGATTGGCAATTAGGTCTCACTGTTTTACTGTTGAATGAGATAGATGTAACTTCTATTTTAATAGTTTCTTTGCTCGCATATCTCACCTTTGAAACCCTCTTCCAGTTTTTTGCTTTCCTTTAAATGCAACATCAATCACCATCTTCTGTCTTCTTGAATCCTGTTCCGTAAGAAGCTATAGATAATTATGAAAGTGTTAGTAATATTTACCTCATATTTTGAGTAATAAGTCAGTGGTTATCAGAGATTGTCATTGTTTTAGAATTACTTCTGAGAAAATAAATACTACTACTACATGGTATATTTGGATAACATTTTCTTTTAACAGTGCTTTTGTTTTCTGCTTTTTAGAAAGACCTGAAATCAAAACATGATCATAAGCTATGTTTGGCTCAGTAGGGATGGATCCAGGGTTCTCAATAGGGTTGGTTCCAGATAAAAATGGATTGGTGAAAAATCTTTTAATGCTTATTTACGTTTATTTGGGATTATTTGGGTTCTTTTATTTATAAAATTAATTTCTGGAATGAGGAGTTATTGTTATGTACATTATTTACAGTTGGACTAATGTCCCCATCTTTGTTGTTATTATCATAACATTTCAGCTGTTATGCCTTCTGGACTTCTTCAAGTGTCCATCAATCCTAGGAACCTTCAAGCAATCTCAAACAGAACCCTCCATTTAATCTATGAAGTAGATTGTTCTTATTCCACAAAACCTTCTCCCACCCACTAGATATCCCTTGACATGGACAGCAGAATGAGATCAGTCTATCCCATTGATTAAATAAAGGGTTTTGTTCAAAACTTCTTGAAAGTTATTCAGATCAGAAGACACATGAAGAAGGCCAGAGCACACAATGGCTGAAAAGTTTTTATAACAACAACAAAGATGAGGATATCAGTTTAACTGCAAATAGTGAGAATAAAATTTCTTTATCTAGATATTTAAAAAAAAATGTTTAAATTGCCTGAGCAGGAGAGTGCGGTTTAAACATTCTGCCACTCTTGATCTCTGTTATAGACGAGGACCATTAAAACCTAATTTTTTTTCACCAACACCATCTTCTTATCTACTTTTGAGAGCATATTGCTTAACCTAATGTAACTGAATTAACCCAGTGATTGTAAAAGTTTTATGCTTGAGGTGAGATTAGATGCTTTCAAATAATTAACCAGATGAAATTCAGTGGAAATTAATCTGAATTAAAAAAATTTATGTGGAATTTATGGCTTGAAGTGTCTTAAGTTTCTGGTCATACAAACCAAATGCTCTTCAATTCCATGCCTTGTCTCATTTTTGTGCAAGTTTAATAAAAATTTACCTAAACCTGGTGGAACTTGGCAACTTTTACCATATGCAGATGTATATAGAGCTTCACATCAAACAAATCTTGTCATATTACACTTGTGGAAAAGCAGATAAATACCATTTCTTCAGTAGAACAAATTAATATTCAAAGCTATAAAAAACGATTTGGTTGATTTTGACATGTAATTGTATTAATGATGTTGTGGCATCAGTATTGTTTACCCAATACAAGGCCCACGATCCATTCAAGGTAAGGGGTTATTGAATTAGTTTGCTACAAGAGTGTTAAAAGAGGAAGTTAGAACTGCATATTATGAGGATATTATGTAGGATAGATAAGCAGCATCCCTTTGAGAGGCTGTTCCACAAAGTAACAGGTCTGGAGAAGAAGCTGTTTGAATAGAACTTCCTTCTTACCTATGGAAAATGAAGGAGGAATTGACCCTTTCTAAGTGGCATGGCAGGTCTTAGAAGTGAAAGTCTGAACTAATGAAACTAAAGAATGTAGCTCATCTGAGCATCTGCCATGAAAATAGTCATAGATTAATAAGAGGCTAGTAATGATTTTGTTTTTTTGTGGGAAAAGGGTTGTAAAGCAGAAAATAGTTTATTACCCACAAGGCTGCGTAAATGTTTTTGAATTCTATCAAGACTGGAAAGCAAAGATTGGGCATTTCCAACCGAAAGGTAATCCAATCTATACATGTTATCTAAAAAACTGACCCCAAGATAATTTTAGAATACCAAATTCATATCACTATAGCATCATACTGAGCCTACAATTAGATAAAAGCATGTTTTATATCTTTTTTTACAGCAATTCATACAGTATAGTGAATCTGAACTAGCCATATTGGAAAGTGTAACAGCTTTCTGTTCATCATACAAAACCTGATGGAGAAAATCATTGAAATAAATCCAAATCCATTCTATTTTTCCAAGTCAACTATTATTTTATAAAGTTATTTTCAGTGTAACCTGTTTCTTTTAAGAATTACATAGCTATCATTTTAGTTTAAGGAAAGTGTCTATGGAAATTCCCCGCCTCCTTAGTACCAGCAGACTCTTCTGTGGCTTATAGAGCCACAGCCTCACTACATTAGTTGCTGCTGTGACTTCCATAGCAAGTATAGCTTTTATGGTCTAGAGTTATCAGTCCCATGCCCAACTGGTTTTAATTCAGATTTATCCTTCTCCTAGACTAGTTGCCAGCCAAGGCTAGAGAGCCCAGTCTGCCCTACTGTTTACCTTATAGGGAGAAAAAGAGATGGATTCATACCTTTCTCAGGGGAATTTGTGTGTAAGTAAATGCAATGACCTTGACTGGAATTTGAACTTGTCATGCAAATGTTGGTTGTGTAAATGTGTTATTCAATCTCTTCCAAATGTTGCCTCATCCATAAACAAGACTGAAGAGACAAACAATGGATCATGCTGTTTGTGCAATAAACCATTGGCAAAAATTCTCCTGTAGTGAGTGATCAGAAGGCGGAAAACCCTACACACATTGCAAATGATACGGGTACGGGAGCTGCGCTCAAAGTACCCTCCAGGCAGTACTATGAGATGTATGACATACTAGGGCCACTTGACATGTGCTGATACCTGGATCATCTCTGACAGCCTGTAGAATGTGTTCTTCATGGTCTGGCATACAAGCAGATCTCGCTCTTCCTCATGTCATAGTTTGTGGTGCCACAGATCCTGTCTCAGCAAAGGTTGGATGACTCAGCTGTCTTTGGTCTGGAAATGCAGCCATCCAGTCTTGTGTCCATTAACATTCATGCGACTGTATATAAAAATCTTATCTGCCTGCTCATGACTAGCCACAAATGTACACAAATGACAAATGTAACCTAGTCTACATAGTAACATAGTGTCATCTATTGTAAACTTTCTTTAAACTTCCTAACTCAAAAATGAAGGATTTGCAGACATGTTTATATGGACTTTTGTCTTAGTTTTGGTGTGAGGAACCCGCCTCAGAAGTTTGTAAAAGTATTTTTGATACACCTTATATATATGGATGAGGCTATTATATTTGTATTATCAATGAGTATGTTGTGGATAGAGTTTGGTAGGGCTCCATGTGTATTTAAATAAAACCTAATTGAGCTATGATCAGAGAGATGTAATGTGAGTCTTCTTGTTAGGTATATTGTAGTATATCCAATATAATAATTTACGAATTTGGATTAATCAGGAACACAGTTCCTTAAGGGACATGTGAATTCATAAATAATATTTGTTCTCTGTAGTTTGGATCTTGCAGGTTAATTATTATTGTTGACGATGAGGCAAGCAGTTTTAAATTTTTTATAGTAGATAATTTAATTTTCTTGTTTTTGTCAATGGAAATTGTATATTTCTTTATAATGTCTCTAAGGAAAGATTCATCATGCATATAGTTACTATACATTTGATTTTAATAGGAAATGTTAGATATTTTTTCTAGATGTTCAGTGTTGCTATTGGTTACCTTAGAAAGAAAAGTCAAATATGATGATCTATGAGATTATTCAGAAAACCATTAATAACTAGCATTTGTTTCTTGTTGTTAAGAAAATTTTTAAAGAAAAATGGACAAGACGATGAATTCCCATGCACTCTTGTGAGGAAATTTTTTGTAACACCTATTTTATATCTAAGAGAACATTAACTACTAAAATTAAGGTGGCAAGATTTTCTATTGTGGGTTTTTATAGT